GGAGACTTCGAAACTACCTATGAAACCTACCATCCTCATACCAGAAGCGGCCACTTGTGCCACCTGTGGTTGTTGACGCTCTTGCATTTGTGGTGGTGGTGGCGGTGGTGGCGGTGGAGGTGGTGGTGGTGGTGGAGGAGGCGGTGGTGGCGGTGCTCCCGTCGGTGATGGTGCGGACGACCCTTGTGTTCCTCCTGCTGGTGGCCCCTGTGACGGAGAAGGAGGTTTTTGACCTTCAACGCCAGGTTGTTGCCCTTGTCCTGCATCCACAGGTACTATTGCTGTAGTAGGTCCAGCTGGAGTTGAAGGTGAACCTTTAGGAGGTGGCAGATTGATCAACGCTGTCACTGGACTCGCTTCGACAGTTTTGCCCTGAAAAAGACTGAGCTCAAACGTATTTTCGAGTATTGTTTCGCAGCGCGTAAATAGAAAATGTTCATTCGGTAGTTGCTCCGAAGAGGGAGCCCTCCCAGAATGGTTGTGCCATTCTCACGAGTTTTAAGGGGGTGGTTAGCTCTTAGTATCCGTTAGGAGTGCCTTCCGCCTCCATGGGTATTTCAAAGCAGCTTATTGTCCGAGCAACACTTCCAACCCCCTCCCTCCTCCACTCACAGCTTGACTATGGCTCTACTCCATGGGGCTGGAACCTTTTAGAGACCATTTGACCCTGTAATTGACTTGTACCCTTAATAAAAGTGAAAGTCCCATTTAAATCTTTCCAGAATTTTCTATTTTCTCGTAATCGGCTGGCATGGCGCCTTCCTTCCCACGCATGATCATACAACTCATATTCCTCTTCTGCGGAATGTGACTCTGATCCTATTACAATTAACACAACTAGCTTACCACTTCCTTAGCCTGCTGTTCCCTGGCTCTCCTTCTTCTTTTTCTCAAAGAAGGGGGCTCAGCGAGTACTTCCGGATCTTTTGTAGGAGCAGCTTCATCAACTGTAGGTTTCTCGACTTTCTTTTTCTTCTTAGATTTCTTCAAGGGCGATTCTTCTTGCTTTTCACCACCTTTAACTATAAACATGTTTTGGGGTAAGGAATGGATTTTCATATTCCTTTTTTTTTGCAGTGAAGTTTCAGTAGACTGGCAAAGTAAATCAGAGACTTCGTTCAAGAAATTACTTTAGGTGCTGGCTGGTTGTGGCTGACGCGGTGAGCACTTTCAGGAGCAGAGCCTTTAAGCTTCTAAGTGGATAACCAATAATTTATCACTCACTAGTAAACAATGAAGGAACGGCGCGTATCTGTATTGTCGAATTTTTGTTCCCTTATAAAGTGGTACGAGCTTATCATGACGGAAATGGCAGGTGGTGTCTTAGGACGAGATTTCTGTTGTTGTTGCGTGAATAGCTGACTACATTAAGTCAAAAAATGCCCGGAACTGCCTTCCACAGTCGCCATGGGTCAGCAAAGACGGGCGTCTTCTGTNGACGAGATTTCTGTTGTTGTTGCGTGAATAGCTGACTACATTAAATCAAAAAATGCCCGGAACTGCCTTCCACAGTCGCCATGGGTCAACAAAGACGGGCGTCTTCTGTGAATGGTTAGGTCTTCACAACGCCGGTGAAACTCGTCCGCCTTTGGGTGTGTCATACGCCGATATGGTCTTTGAGCCCTTTTAACACCCTATCTAGTCCGTTTCTCAATCTATCCGCGCCAAATGTGCATCTCTGGATAACGCTTGGATACTGATCCCACGAAGATATCTCTAGAACCAATTTTACCGTGACCTATGTGTTTTAAAGGTGTTTTGAATACTGCAACGGCCGAATATTATCGCAACTATCATCAGGCCTTATCAGCATGTTGTCATTTCAAAATCTATGTATATGGCCTGCCCACAGGCTCCATGAGAAAAAAGCGTCTGGAAAGATGATTGCGTCCACATTAAGCGACTCCAAGTCAGCTGAGAACATTACTGAAATCCAAATAACTTCACCTATCCCTGGTTCAGCAGCCTGTCCTTGCATCCCAGCTTGCATTTGAAACCTGTCCACAGCCCTAAATATGGTGCCTTACTGACACAGACTGGCTCTATGGGCGAGTGCCCTAAATTTGTGTAGAGGTTCTGATCAGGTATGGGGTAAGTAAGAGTTGAAGTCTGCCAGCGTTTCCGCAATGGCAAGCTTTCAGATAAGCTTCCTGATTTTGAACAGTCGGAGGAAGAGGCGTAGTCACAAGCCACGCACTATCACACACGCAAGGTCTGGAGACCAGACCGCACAGTCTTACCAGGCCTCCATCACTCCCGAGTCGATTGACTGGTATGAGACTCGTCTGGAAGGATAAAAGCACTGGCTTGTATATTTCTGGGCTACCACGACTCATTGTAGAGCCCTCATCTGTTGGGTTGATAGAGGGGACGCGCGAAAGGATACAGGGAGCGCGACGCGGTTTTCGGGAAGAAGTTACCACCCCGTGAACTAGCTGTCTACATGCTTGAATCAATGCTCGACATTACGACTCTTTCGGTAATCAAAAGCGGTGTGCGTTCGGGGAAGTCTGATCTGTATTGTTCCCTTCTCATCCTTCCTATCTGCCACTCCCTCTCCCACTCCTATAGCACCGCTCGTATAAGGTGAAAAGCATGGATGCAGATCGAGTTGTTGTTTATCATCCTGAACTGTTACCGATCAAATCATCCTGCCCATGTTCATTTTTAAGGACTCACGAAGTATGAACAGTTGTGCTCTACTGCTGGAACAGCCTTCTCATGATTGTCTCATTCTCAACCCACTCACACGCGCGTGCACAGCCGAATGGGCAATGATTGCGAGCGGACAAATCAATACTTATTTCTGATACCTACGGAAGCGAGAGCGGTATGTATCTGAACGTATTACCATCGACCGAGGCAGGTATGTCTATGAGCATTAGAATAGAAGATATCCCTTCAGGCATTGACGCTAGAGCGCATGGTGTAAGTCCGACCGACATCGCGCGGCGATTCTTAGCTAGTTGTCCCGCCGCGTGGCATCCCCGCTTGGGACCCATAGCCGCCTCTGAAGCTGCTGTCATCGCCTGATATTATTCAGATAGTGACCACTGTGTTAGATAGAAGAAAGTAAACGATGAACTCACTGTCCCCACACAGTGGAGATTCCTTGGAATAACTTCTCCATTTTTGCGCCCAGTCTGAAATGATGACATCAAGGAAGCTTCAGATGGCAAATTCGTTTCTCTAGAACAACGACGATGGTACTCCCACCCCATTAAGATAGTTGTTGGGATCGAATCTCAACTCAGCGATCCCCTCACTGCCCATCGCTAACCTCACACATATACAAGGTGGATCAGGCAATGTGGGGGAACAGTCGCCACTATGGTTACCACGACTGCATGAGATGGGAGGAGAGTCTTCCCCATGCTGTTTGCGATGGAGTTGCCTGGACGACAAACTGAGATGCTTACATTTTCTTTGGCGGCATGGTTGAGCGGATCTTCTTGACTAGAAAGTAGCAAATAACTGAAGTGACTTAGGAATCCCTTTTTATACTGGCATGATAACTACGGTATCTAGCGAGATCAGATTATCAGAGGTTTGCTGCAAACAAGCCTTGGTTGAAGCAGTCCCAACCCTACAGTCTCAACCCTAGCAGTCTCAACCCTACCGTGCCAACCTTGTTCTAAAAGGGGGCTCTTGCACGAGTTTTCGATGGAGGTGTTGTTACCCAAGGTCCCACGGGTAAGATACAGCAACTACAGGTACCGTTCGTCCGTTCAGAATTCAAGTTTTCGTATGCTAGGAGGGAGGCATGCCGTTCGAGTAGAACGCCCCCCTCCCCACCCCCACCCCCATACATGTTCCCGCTATCCGCTCAGATTTCGGAGATAAGCAGTGAATGATCACACGCGTGCATAATCAATACCTATTCCAATGTACACACGATAGCAGGCTGGTTGGAATATCAAAACAGGCTTGCATCTATATCCACTAAAGAAAGAAGATGCGCAGAATAACTTCAAATCTATTGATCGAGGTCCGATCCTTGGACTTCGATTATAATAATGTGCTGCAGTAGTAGTAGTCTTTCCTCTTCCATCTCAGTTACAGAGATAAAGAATTAGTAAGCAGTTTCGCTCAGAATTTCTGAATTGAGCTATCTTTTAGACCTTCTGTGAAACACGTGTACATAAATAGTAACTTGTAGTATCTGCTTGACGCTCAACTCAGCGGTTTTCCTCTCCCGGAACAGTCGACACCAGTTAGCCGATTTGGGAAGACCCAAGGCTCCCAAATTGGTTCGAAGGGTTAAGAGGTTAAAGACTGAAGCCTCATGTCATTACGCCGCATTCGATGACTTGTTTGTGTTTGTTACTAATAAACAATAAAGTCTGAATGGCGACTGTGCCTTGGATTAACCTCCAGAATTGTGGGAGTACTTGATGCCCATCAGATTTCATGGGATCCTGTGGACATCCAAGATACTGCACTTCCTATTCTCATCGATTCCCAGAGGTGTCGTTCATGCTTGATTGAGACTTCGATCGACGGATCGTACTTGAGAAGCAATATCCCCTGTCGCTACCGTTTCCGCCTACCCGATTCTGATCCTTCGTATACTACAGAGCCCTATGCTGACTGGAGGATATTCACACGAATTTGTTGGGAATGACAGTGTAATACAGGCTGATATCTATTTAGTCTGAATCTGTGTCGGTAAACAACGCTGGTAGCCAAAGTTCGTATCGCGGCACCTTCAACTGTGGCGTGAAGTGCGATGTTTGGACGTAGCGGTCACCAAGCGCAGTTTAACTGACGCCCAGTATATAATCGTTGTCTTCGAAAAGTTGCAAGCGCTCGTTCGAGCGAATTCTTTCAGTTTCTCTGGGTTCTACGATTTTCATCTCTTCCATCAAGGCGTCTACTAAAAATGGTGGTAAGTGTAATGGCTAGATATTCCAATTTATTTCTACATACAGCTAGTAATTTCAGCTACCACTTTCATTGCTACGTACTGCCCAAAATCATCCGATGTTGATTGAGTTGAAGAATGGAGAAACATACAATGGTCATTTACAATCGTGTGATTCTTGGATGAATATCCATTTGAGGGATGTGATCTTTACTTCAAAAGTGAGTTTGTAATTCCTATCCATTTAGAATTCTTGGCCATATATTCCAAAGTATTTCTTGCTAGCTCTATTCATAAAAAAAGTTTATTTGGAATTGAATTGCTTTAGTGGGAGGCGTCATATTTGCAAAGTGGATTGGCGTCCCCATCCCCATCAACTTTATTTTTTTCCACCTTCATTTTACCCCTTGTTGGGAAATTGTTAAAATTAATCATAGGTCACACTATAGATCGAGATCGTAAACGAACTCGTTTACCCAACTCTTAAGACATTTTTCACATTTTATAATGCTATTATTTCAAGCTTCTATGGGTTATCAAAGAAGTAGGAGTGGTTCTGGTGCGTTCTGTATGGATGATTTATTTCCGGGTGTTTCAGGTCTTCTCAAGTACCCAATAAAAACAGTCCCAGTAAGAATTCTGTCAAGTTTACCCATACATGCTATTGGTTCGAGAGTAGTAACTAAAGTCGCCGTCATTGCGACTGTCGTAATCTCTCTGAATCTGAACAAAGCTCTTAAAAAGACAGATAAATNACCCAGGCAAATAGATGGGAAGAGATTTTTCGATCTGAATTTCATTCAAAAGTGTGATTCTATTCAGGATGGTGATAAATTCTTCAAAATGCCTGAGGTTTATATCCGAGGATCAACTGTCAAATATCTCCGCATACCTGAAACGGTAAGTAACTCTCCATCTTTTCATTTACTGGATGTATACCTATGTGGTATTTAGTGGTCACATTCACATTTTGTTTACAGGTTGTGGATCTTGTGAAGAACGAAGTTAACGAGGTTCGACGGCAACAAAAAGACCAACAGCGAGCACGCAAGCAGCTTGGAGCACGAGGAGGTGGAGCTGCTCGTGGCGGAAGGGGTGGCTATCGTGGAAAAGGAAAGTAATACGTTTACATGTTCATTTTCTTCGTTTGTAAATATTCATGGGTGTTTTCGTGTATCTCATAGTGTTGTTGTTATGAACTGAAGTTTGAACTTTGAATAAATTCAACTATACATCAACTTGAACTTTGTTTTTTGGCTACTTTGAATGTTTTTATTGAAGAAATAATACTTATAGTTGTAGTACGGTGCGTTGTTAGCCCAAAAATTGTGCTAGTTCCAGTCTGTCACTTATAATGAAGTGTGCATGGGCTTATCGTTTCGTAAATTCTGATCTCAAACTGAGTTTCAGAGTTTACAAAGCATCTTCCGAAAAGGGGTAAGTGGAGATACACTTCGAAATGACAGAATCCCTTGAATCAAGAGATTGAAGGTAATAGTGAATTCATGATTTAGACGCGATGGAACTTGAAACGTAGTGATGACGCTAGTGTTTGGATGCGCTTTTTCTCTTCCTGAGGGATTTTTTTTTCCCTTTCCTTGGCTTGCAGTTGAACTTAGGGCTTGTGAAGGTAATGCGGAGTACCACTGCACGACCGCTCGCGTAAGACACGTCAAATGCGTTCAATGGGACTGTGCTTTAATCAGGGCTCTGAGGCTCGAAGGCAATGAGAGACGATTGTGTAAGTGTCAGGCGTGTTTACTGAGAAGGACATCTCGAGTAAAAGGGCGTCTTCGCACAGGCTTGGTCAAAGATCGAAACTCCCGGAGTTCATTAGAGCATTTCGCCTTATAGGTACTTCTAACATATCCGGAATCACAAAAACCCCAGTTCGGGCAATAACCTCCACGATCCGTACACAAGAACGTATCCAAACTCTTTCACAGTTCTCCAGGACGTTGAATGCATGACGCATCCAATCAAGAATGAATGAGATGAGTCTATTAAGCCTTACCAACAGGTATAATCGTCTCCTTCAGTGAACTATATGACTCAAGGGGGGTCATTGTGGTGTCGTATTGATTGTGTTCACCGCAATGTAGTGTATCTCCTTATCAGTTCATCGAGTGGCTAGTCTTGCCGTATTATTGATTGGTTTTGTCTTCACGATCGAGAACTTTTAATGTTGCACTGTCACATGTCGAGAATGCATTCTGTTTATGGGCATGTCATGTGGGGGTTTCTTTTAATATCAACTTCCACCCAGTCTGTTGCATGAGACTTCAGATTGTTCCCATTTTACCTTTCCTCATGATTTTTCTACTTCATTCAATTTGTTATGGATTTCTGTTCGTTGTTTCACAACCTTCTTGCCGAAATACAGAACTTGCTGCTACACAAAGTTCTATTTCAGTTAATTAACTCATCAAAAAACACCCTTCTCCGCCCCACGTTCACCCTTTTGCCAAAACGGTGGTGGATTCCGAAATGCAGTGACTCTTTCTCTAGTGTAGCCCTAATAGGTGTGACACCACACATCCTCATTCATCCATTTTCATCGACTAGTAAATTAGACGTTTGGTTTGATACGCAGTACGGTCCTATTTATACTTCACGATGGCCGATAGGTGAAAGCGTTGGCTTCAATCGATATCCCGCACTTAAGACTACACAACATGAAAAGTCTCCAACTTGTCATTTTTCTTCGTTCTTTTTAGTGTAATGAAACAGTTCACATCAGCAAGAGATCAAAATATAACTAGAAGTTCATACTGTAAAAGAACATCCAGAATGGAAATGGAAGGTGAAAAGGGTAGGGGAGGTTATACAATACCCAACTGCCAAACAGTCAATGTAAAAATTATTATCAGTGAGTGGGTTACCGTAAAAAAGTGAACTAGAACAGGCATGCTAGAGCGCATATAACGAACCTGGGTTATCGATCTGTACGACGCCTTTCGCCCATCATCCACGCGGAGTATGTAGTCGACCTACGGGTTCTCCATAATCTTCCGTAGCTACTGAAGCTGTAGCCCTAGACATCTGTCCTTAAACGTTAGACTAATTAGTCTTATTTCTGTTTGGAAATCTTGAAATACTGACAGGACACTTTTAATGTCGAACTACTCTGACTTTTTAATTGTTCAGGCGATGTCACTTCCAAATGGGCCTTCATCAAGTGCTCCTCCGGCGCCGCCACCGCCTCCACCTAGGCCTTCTGAGATGAATACTGGTCTGGGAGTGATGCCTACATACGGAATGTACGGAAACACAATGGGATATAATGGTCCCGGTTACGGAATGAACAGCTACGGTGTAGGAATGTACGTCTGGTAACAATGATCAGTTTTCAGCAATTTCAGGTTGCCTGAAACAGCTTGAACCTTGCTCAGAGGTTTAATAGAGAGGCAGTTTACGTAAGCTAACATTGATGCTATATAGGAGAGAGCCGCTCGTTAAGCTGGGTGTTGGTTTTTTTTTGAAGTTTTTTTGGATAGGATGTCCAAAATCTCGATAGAATATTGCTCCGTGGAATGCGCCATGCCTTCGAGTATAATCGATTATTGCGGGCATATGGGAGCCTTTGTTTTCCACCCACACTATGACTCGCGAAGCCATCGATGTCAGTGTCGGTGCTCCCAGCGACCCTAATGGGGAACTGCCATCGGTCGTGGTCGTGGCCAATAAGGCTTGATGGGGAAAATGGTAGAATACCCATGTCATGTTTATTGCATTGCCATCTCTAGTTGCTGTTTCAGTTCTTCAATTTTAACATTCTGACTTTAGACAAAAGGAGCCTTTTTTCTAATGGTTGAAATGTAGTGCTCAATCTGAGTGATCATATCGATCAATTGTAATCGGTGATCCCAGATCAACTACATCAGTGGATAGGAGGCTGTGGAGGATGGTGCGACTACGACCTGTCCTCAAGAATGAAATCCTCCACCATATTTCTCCATCTAAACCTTTTATACCCTATCATCCGATTCCGCTATACCTTCTGGATCAGGGGGCACTGTTAGTGTACTGCTACATCCAGTCAAGGAGTTAAAGTGCTGACTCGAACATCTGGTGGTATCCACAACTCATAGTAGAAACATGTACAGCTTCATGCACCATCGCTGCTTTGAGTGAAAGGCGAGAGCATGGCGCATTCCTGTCTGCATTGATAAATGACCTTATTTTCATCCATCATTCATTATTCAACCCTTTGAATTCTGTTACAGGTACGGTGGAATGTACGGTAATGGTATGATGGGTGGCTATGGTGGTCAGTATGGACATGGTAATCCGGAGAGCAGTTTCGCGAGATTGGCTGAAGGTATCACTTCACCAGAGAATCTTTTCTTTTCTTTTCCTTTTTTCTTTATAAGGAAAAACTCTTTGTTGTTTGCCATTCAGATTCTTCCTCTATCTACTTTCAGAATCATCTCGAGGAGCATTTCAATCTATAGAGGCTATTGTAAATGCCGTAACGTCTGTAGCCAATATGCTCAGTTCCACTCATAATGCTGTATATAGCTCATTCCGAGCCGTTATTGGAGTCGTTGAACAGTTGTCCAGACTCAAACTACAGGTCAGTACCAGTTGGCAAGCCGATGCTACCACTCATAAAAAAGTTTTCGCCATGCTTTCGGAATTGGACAGTATTCGACCAAAGTCATCCTTCATCTTTTAGGTTAAGTTCTTTGTATAACGCTGGAGTCTCCTATAACCTCCAGTGCTTTTTATCTTTCCAGCCTTGCTTGTTCTACCCCATTCAGATTCGAAAAAATGAAAGTTCCGGTTGTCCGGGCGGACTATCCCTGCCACAATAGCACAACTTTCACCCTGTCACCTCTCCCGTGTTTTGGAAACTTTTACGAGTCGAATCCATCAACTTTTTTACACAACCGATTGTTATCCTTGCCGGCTAGATCGGTATCTTCATAGTCTCCCTCTTGACTTTACTGAGAATCAATCTTGTTATCTACGTAAAGTGTTTTCCAGTTTTTTTTTCTGTTTGATTCATGTTACTGGATTTGCGTGAAGGTCTATAAGGCTGTAAACCTCAATAGCGAGAGCGGTTTAGTGCGACTAGGCGCTGTTGCAATAAACACTGTGCGGAGATCGAATCCTAGATAGAAAACGACACAGCTTAGTCGAACCGCTCCTATTATTTGATAAAGTTGAATGCAAGTTACTTGGCCTCAATTACGAATATGGAAGCGATTTCTCTTTGAATCTATGTGGAGGCTTGTACATGGTGTGTACATGTACAACCATATATAGAATCATACCAAATAGGAGTTTTTTTACGGGAGATTTCTATATGTGACTTGTTTTGCTTGACTTGCTCCTACTATAAAAGGATGAACCTGACGTTTATCAGTCCCATCTCGAGAGTGTGCCCCGTATTCGACTTCCATTCAGAGCCGTCGTGGCGTATTGAATTGGTGTGTGGCTTATGCAATGAATTGTGATGTCCAGCTGATGTAAAAGTCAGTGCTTTTATCCTTCCAGAGGGATCTGGGATCTATTAACCGACCTGAAGGGAAAGAAGGCTTTGTCAGCCTAGGATCCGGGATTCAAACCCGTGACCAATCGTGCGCGATACCACTTGCCACTACGCCACTTTCGTCCCAGACGTTATTGCCTCTTCGCGGAAGCAATACGCCTTCCTACTGATAATCCTGAATATTTTTCGTGACGTACAGAAAAAAGGAAAAGGATAGGCAGGGTCAAGCAGCGTCATCACCACACACCTGGTTCGGGATAAAATACTTATCTACAACAGCTAAGGTGCCGGCCTATCTACTTTCTAGATTCGCTATACCATATTTACCTGAAAGTACAAATGCGCTGACTTGTATAGCCTTAGTACTGCGACCCTGTAGGAAAAATACACAACCAAACTCTTTCCGGTTCTTGACAGAATTAAACGGCGATCGATCTTGGAAAGTGATTCGACCACCTCCCGTCAGACATCTAGAATCAGTTTTTGGAAAGAAAAATAGTGAAAAACCACTCTCAATTGCGGTGAAGCACGACGTACTTTGAATTTAGCAGCATTGATCATAGGGTTTCCACTAGAACTATTTTGGTTATTATTGTTTTGAAAACAAATTATGTGGAATTTTTTTAAATTATGTCTTATTGAAGTTGCATTTCAGCTCGCCCAAGTTCTCTTCTCCCTTTCACTGTTCAAATTTATACAGAAATTGTGGAGATATTTGTTAGTACTGCTTCGTTTGAAACCAGCTAATTATGCTAGTGTAGAGGAGCTCGCCTGGGGAGAAATCAAGCAGCCATACGGTTCGTTACATTTCCTTTTGTCAGTTACTTAGAAATCCTGGATCGGTTACGAGAATGTCCTATTCAGGTTCGGACCTACTTGCCGGACCGGGACCTCCAGCCGTAAACTGGCCTGCGATCATGTTTTGGTTGGTCGCACTGGGTGGTCCTTATCTTATCTATAAAGCTATTTCACAAATGGTACGTTCATTTGAGGAAAGCCGTAAATGGGCTACTGGAACTGGCGCTCACTATACTGCTCGGGTAAGTTTTGTTTTACTGCTGATTGAGCGAAACTTTGGCATTTAGGAGTTGTTAAAGGCCAGAAAGGAAGAGTAAAGGGCAGTCCCACATAACATTGGAATGCGCCGCGAAACTTAGTTCCTCCGAGAACTTCTTAGCTGTTCCGGTAGGCCCGGACAATAGGGAGCATCGGCAGGCTAACGTCGTGGAAAGGACGGGCATGCGGTAATGGCAATTTTTCAAGAGGTTGTGCAATGCATCAATCACGCCGTCGGTTGAGATGTCATAAAAAATGCTGTCGGAATTTGATGCACAAAAGGTGCGATTTTTTAGAAAAAAAGGCTAGAGACATGAAAGATCGTGTACGAGTACGGTAGCTAAGTTAATAGTGAAATTCGATTGAAAAAAAAAGTGGATTGATATATTCTGCCGAAAGTGGGTTATCTAAATGTAGAGAGTGTTGAAGGAAGAGCAAAAGTGCCTGATTTCAAAGAAATAGTAAGAAATCGGAGGGAGCTGCAATTGAACTTTCTGGGAACTTTCAGGGTTATATGGGTTGCTTTGTACTTGACATATCTTTTTCTTGTTAATTCCAATGTGAAATGACTAGCCTTCAGGCTCTGTACGATTTCCATGCTGCAAATGATCAGGAACTTTCATTCATGAGCGGTGAATTACTTCGAGTTGCTCCGAAAGAAGAGCAGCCACGAGTTCGAGGGTGGCTTCTGGCAAGGTGGGTACTTTTGCTGCCGCCCTAATCTTTGTATCGTAACTACAGTCTCTCTCACTAAATCCCAATCCATATCCCGATCTAATTATTCCTTCCTGTATTAAAAATCGCAGTTTTAGTTTTTTTTTTGTACTACGTGTCTACTTGTGTCTAAAAAAAAAGTGTCTAAAATTGCCCTATAATTGTGGGCGCAATATTTGAAGCTTTAGTTTTGTTGTTTTTGACCATTGGCTGAAGAGCAATCCTTGAAGTATCTTCAACTACTATGAGCACAAAAAGTATAAAAAGAAAAATGTCCTGAAGCCCAAGAAACTCTCATCAGGCTACTCTATATCCAGCTTATTTTTCAAAACTCTGATGATGGATGGGCTTTTTGTGCGCTTTTGCGAAGCGTAGGACCTGAGGAAGTAAACCTTTTCGAAGGAGATTTGATCACATCCGAGCCATTGCAGTAGTTTGACGGAAACTTGAGTCAATTAGGAATTGATATTACTCCATTTCTTTTCTAAAATGACTTTTTCACTTCGTATCAATTTCCATAATTTAGCTCACAAGAAGGCGATCGTGTTGGTCTCGTTCCTATCAACTACGTTAAAATTATCGGCCGAAAATCCGAATCTCCACCTCTTCGCGAACCAATCGATAACCTTTCGAGATTTGATATGGCATTTAGACCTCCATCGTGAAAATGTAGTGTCATTGTAATACAAAAATAAATATTCTCAAAGGAATTTATTACATTTTGGGAAGGCATCGGTCGATCTTCAATACCATTCCGAAATAACAAGGCACGTTGAATATCAAATAAATAAACACAATCGTCATCAATATGGTAATGAGGTAACTGAAGGTATCGAAGATCTCAAATGAAACAAATTAATCGTAACATGGTTATTGTTGAGCCCGCATCAACCACTTGCCAAGCGACCTGAAATGAAATTGGGAGAGTGTTGGAATGAGGTATTACCGCAATAAACCCAAGGCCAGTTCAGATTACTTCATTCTATAGTTATCTTGACAGTGAGTGGGCTGGCTAACGTCTTCTCACTGTAGTTGGGATCAATTAAGCCCTAAGAAGGGCAGCGTAGCATCAGATCCGTTTTGGGTTTTGCGGAAGTCCCTAATCACTCGAAGCGCGCCGCAATTCCTAGCTAGCTGTCACAGCATGTCTGTGCTATTCAGCCGTCTTGCCGTTCGAGAACAAGCTTGTCACTTTCTTTGAAAGTATGGGCAGTGCTGGATAGACTATTGATATTGCTTGACTATGATTTCTAGCAGATGACCTTTTTCGAGGGGACGCTTGTGAGGTTCAAAGATATCTCTCATCAGATGGGTTCCCGGGAGTTGGGCCGAAATGCTTGACCTATACTCACGCGCAGACTGTGCCTGGGAGATAAAGTCTATAATGGATTTGAATATTTGGAGGGACCAGTTTGGCAAGCGCATTGTTAGATACTAGGACCCCTACACTACCATCTCGGATTACTGTGGTCTCAAGGGTAACATGATGGAGTGCTCAGCTCTTTTCGACTTTTTACCGGTATATGCCATGAAAATTATCAATTAATAATCCTCCATTTCAGATTTTCCTAGAGTTTCCAGAAAGAAACCATGCCTTAGTCTTCTCAGCTTGTACCACAAGGGATCAAATATAGCCTTACCTAAATTACAACTGCTGAACTATTCTTTCCATTTGTTGAGATCCATTTGGGGTATCTGGCTGCAGGCAGTGAGATGACCGATACGGAAAGCCTCTCGTGGAACCATCTAGATTGCAGAGGACGTATATAATTGAAATCTGGATAGATTTCGAAGTGGCTTACCGTGATAGTGTTCGTATTATCGCAAATAATCCTACTAAGCGAACTTTTCCGGATTTCGGACAGCTGCGGTCTACTGAACACTCCAGGGTTTTCATAGTAGAATCTGAAAACAATCCAATTTGACCATTATCAGGTAGTGAAAGGAATTTTCATTGGAGATGAATTGAATCAAGATTCTTTCTATAATTTATTCTTTATCGTAGATCCAAGGAAGTCGCCGGAACATAGGAATAGGTGCACTAGCGTACCTAGATCAAGCGATAGACACTTCCCATAGAGTCCTTATTTCCCTGCTTTTGAAGCAGATGTTAATATTCAATGGTCAGGTTTCATCAGATCTAGGTTGTTGCAGACGTCGTAGCCCTTTTATCAGTAGTTCAAGAGGATAGACTCATATCCAAGAGAAATACAAATGGAAGGGATCACACTCAGAAGAGGCTTTCTGCGTTGTGATCGCTTCGGATTGTTGTACCTAGCGATATGATAAATCCAGTCAAGTTGCTTATAACTGGGGCACGGTTTAGGGTTGCCTACAGCCCCATTTGTGGTAGAGGTAAATTGGTGGAGTCCCTTTATGTGAATACGTTGTCTACAAGTTCAAGTTGTATGCTGCCCAAGTCACTTTACATCAGCGTTATTTGAAGGGCTGACATCAAACGAACGTGTTCATGAGGTCCCATCCAAATAATGACAGAAATGGAAAAGAGTATAATAGATCCTGTTTTGGGGACGCGCCCACACATTCGATTTTCACTGGAATTCGTGGAGGGGTTAAGAAAGTAATTGACTAATGCGACGCCGTGTCTAGGGGGCCACGCGTTCAGGAAATCATTACGCTCTGTAACAATTGAATTTTCGCATTCCCGGTCTATTCTTCTATAGCTTCTGCAAA